AATCGTAGAAGTCATGATGGTATAAAAAACTATAACCAAGGTTATGATCATAATAGAATTTGATCAAATTTTGATTTTGAAGTATCAAATGCCAAGCTCAATAATGATGACCTTGTTAAAGAGGTTGTCAAGATTATTCTTAACTATAATTTTCAAGATGAAAATTACCTAGATGGCATTGAACTTGGTTCAAAAAAGAAGGAAGGTGATGCTTTGATACCACTTGCTAAAACCTATTATGATAAGGCCAAATCTTTCTTCAGCAACATTTTTTATGATATAAAAAAGCGATTAGAATAGCAAAGTACTGGTGGCCAGTTAGCAATTTTTTCTTTTTAAAAAAAAGTCTTCAAAACATGTATATATATTTTGAATTTATTAATTATTAATAGAAGATTGTTCAGAGCTGAACAAAGGCATAAAAAATCTAAAGAAAGATGTCCGAATCTTGAAACTTTTGGATAACTTTTGATTAACATCATAGGAGAAGTCAAGGCAGGTGTTGTGATGGTCGTGAAAGATACTCTAACTGCTATCTGAGGAATAACTTTAGGGTATACAATACAGTATTGCACAGCTGATGCTAAAATTCGGACCTATTTTAATATAATATTCTAAAAATTTTTTAAGATGTTTTTCCTGTTTTTTAGGGGTTAGGATTTTGGGCTAGAAATAGTTAAAGCATATATATGGATTTTAGCAGATCTTATATTTCAAATCGAGATCCCAAATTTTAGCATTAACTGTGACAATTATTTATATAAAAGTTTTGTTACCACTATTATTGCTAATCTTAAATTCAATTTTTTTTTTTTTAGCATTTGGTGTCTTTGGTATTTTTAGTAATATTTAAAATGTTTTATTCTAGAAGCTTTACATTTGAATTTTATACTATAATTATATGAACTAATCTGATTATAATACTTTATATATATCATCACGAAGTTGTTTTTATGTAGATTTATATAGATTTATATATATTTTTTATATAAATCTATATATATTTTTATATAGAATTATGTAAAATAGCAAAAATTTTTAACTTAAATATTAAATATAGAATTAGATTTTAAAGTTTAAATTAGGGGTTTGGAGAAGGTTTTTGAGCATGTTGAACATTTTTCTTAGTGCACCGATTGGTAATTACCTTAGTCACTTTTGAGAAATAGCTGAAGTAAAATTAAATCATTTTTATATAAATATAAATAAAATTTATATGGATTTTATATTTTATATAAATATATAATATTTATATAACTTTAAGGGCTACATAAATTTTATAAAAAAACAACTTGCTGATGACTTTAATAGATGCCTAATTTGAAGGATTTTTCAGACCGAAAAAATTTTGTTCGCATCTTACAGATTAGTTATACTTTTTACATTTTATTGAGTTAATTCCAAATTTTTATATTAAATAAGAATTTCTTTGTGACTTGTATTAATTTAGGATCGATAAAAATTTGATTCTGACTATGTACATATGTACAACATATGAGTGCCACCAAGAGAAATCTGTCATTGTGCTTTCAATTATATTTTGTCTGAATACAATCTATCTAATTTATTAGAATTTTGTCCAGTACAAAATATAATTGAAAGCCCAATGACAGGTTTTCCCTTGGCAACATTTATATATAACGATAATACAGAAGAGATGTTAAATAGTTCAATATGTGCATTTTAAATTATAAAATATTTCCACTGTGCAAATCTCGATGAATGAAGTTTTAATAATTAATTATTTCAAGATCGAAGTAATACATTGTAACGATCTTAATTTATTTTCCATTCCATTCCTGTTATAGATCTAAGATTTTTATAAATAGAACTTATTGGTGCATATTGTAAAGCGAGAATGAATTGTGTATGCACTTGCAATAGTGTATTGCTGCAATTCTAAATAAAAATTTATAATTGTTAATAATTGATAATAGGATTTGTTTTCAACCTAGCTCATTTAGCCGAAATAACAATTTACTAAAAATATATATCTGTAATTAACCCTATTCCTAATTGTGTTGGCTAAATAAATTTGCGAAAACAGTTAACCATTATTTACTGCACTATATGGCCATTATAACTGTTATTTTTTACATATGCACATCTTGACAGTTATTACTGTGCTATATAGGGCAGTTATGACATCATGATCTTGTGAGGATAGCTCGTTACTGTGCCACATGGAACCATTATGACATACTTCTGTGACTATTAACTATTAGCTAAACATAGGCCATTATAACATCACAATCTTGTGAGGATAATAACCATTAACTGCTAGTTACTGCGTTACACAGGACCGTTATGACAATTTTCAGGAGGTTCCAAATAAAAATTTATTGAGTTTAAGAAGGTTTCAATTACCTGGGTCTGAGAGGGGGGTATATCTATGTAATAAGTGACACTTCCCTTAAAAAATAATTTTTTTTTATTAAAACTTAATTTAAATTTTAATACTATTAAAGATATAACCTTATCTTTAATATTTAAAAAAATTTTTTGTTTTTAGTAATTATTACAATAAATATATTGCAATAAATATACATATATTTTTGTAAAAATAAAATAAAAATTATATATAAAAATAAAAACTTAAACTAATTTATTTATAATCTAAACTTGTTAAAATAATTAAAACTTATTTAAATTTTAATAATTAATATAAAATTAAAAATAAAGATATGGCAACCTAGTGAAGTAGATAGGTTATTAACTCCAAATAGCAGATCTAAGGTTCAATTCCTATAGATAATGAATTTTGGAAATTATATTTGTATTATAATAACTGTTTCTTGTTAATTAGTTGGGTTTTGGATATCTGTAATCTTAGATACATCAAGTCAGGCTCTACTTAATATTGAAAGCTCAGACATTATATATATATAGAAGAATATAAAAAATTGATGTTGCATAAAGCTTTATTACAAATCTGTAATAAAATCACTGAGTATAGAAAGCTAAAAAACTAAGAAGACAGAAACTTATTTGAAAATTCCAAGTAAAGAGATAGCACAAATTTTTAATAATATTGTTGAACTGATGGAAGGCTATGAAACACCCTCAAAGAAATTGTTAAATAAACTGAATAACAGGTATGTGAAAAAACATATATATCAATCAGGCTACTAGAATTATTAAAAAAAAAAGATATATAAGTATATTATACTGGATTATCTGAATTGATAATCTAAAGAGTCCTATTAGTTTTGAATAGTAATTAGTAAAAAATAATAGAAAAGATGTTAAAAAAGATGAGTATTAGAATTTGGATAAACTTTACAAGAGTAATAATAGTTTAATGAATAATTCTGATTATAAGTGTTAGTCTTAGTCTTAGCATTAATCAGGTTAGCAATAAAAAAAAATATGACTTACTCTGGTAGATTTATTTCAAGGATAAAAATAGTCTAAAAATTATAGTTATATAGTTAAAGACAAACTGATCTAAGTCACATAATCTAATAAAGTTAATATCAGAGTTAGATTAAAAAATTTAAATGAAACATCTAAGCAGAAGTGTTAGGTAAAACAACTAGTAGAAAACCTCTGAGCAGACTCCTTAAATAGGTAATATAGAAAAGTTATATATATAATCAGTTGTAAACTTATATGATAAAAGAGATCACCTTAATACTGAAAAAAATATAAAATTAAAAAATATATTATATTAATTTATAAAATAAACTAATATTAATTTTATAAATAAATGTAGTGACTTAATAAAATAAATAAGTTGTTATCCTTTCAAGTATCAAGTAATAAGTTCAAAATTTTATTAATAACAAAAAATTTAGATTATCACTTGTATAATTATAAGTATTATAATAACTATATTCTAATAATTAGTTAAGATTAAATATTTATAACTATTATCATACCAATAACTGATAGATTATCTGTATAACTTTAGTTATACAAAAAAATACTAATTAGTACTAGGTAATGCAAATTCAAGATAAGTTCTTATAACTGTATAAATTTATAGAACTAAGAAAATAGAAACCTATTTGAAAATACCTAAGTAAAAAAGTAATATAAATCTTTGATAATACTATTATAAAAACTAAACTTAGAATAAAATACTAATATAAAGAAATCAAGTAAACAAGAACCTTTAGATAAGAAATATCACTAACTAGACCATTAGAATCAAATTAAAAAAAAGATATCAAACTAAACTTAATATACTAAGAATAAGTCATAATCCTATTAAGCTATCTGAATTAGAAGTCAGAAATCAAAACAGAAATATACTAAAAGTACTAAGAATATGCTATGAAATAAATGCTAAGGTTCAGGTATACTCTATAAGAACTAATCCTTTTATAATTTGTAAAATAGATAATTAGTTAACAGAAAAACACTTTGAACTCTACAATCAGGTAACATGCTCTGGAATATGTAACAGTCTAACAGATATACAAAAAAAAACTTAATGTTGGGTTAAACAACACTTAGATGTACAAGAATCAGGTGACTACTTGTTTAAATGCAATATAAAAATCAGAGTGTTTAAATAGGTAATCTTCTAGTAGATTATAGGTATGACAGCTAGTGTAAAACCTGTGAATGAACTACTTAAATAGGTAACCAAAAGTTGCACATATGACTAGTTGCACACTCATCTTGTACAAGTTATATGTAATGTATTAACTAAAAACACAAATCAAGGTGGTAATCACCATAAACATCAGCCTTAGCAAAAGCAAAAAAAAAATTATAAATTGTTTGATCAGTAAAAGGATAAGTATTAAGGTAAAAATGTAATTAGTTAAAAAGAACACAATGACAAAAGTATGTTTATATCCATGAGAACGCCTAATAGTTATATATATAGTTTGAAAATAACAAGTAGGTTGGGACTTTTAAACCATTATTTTTAAAGAAAAAAAATCAATTAAATTTATTGGATAAATGAAATAATAATAGTATAACTATATATTTTAATTTACTCTTGGTAATAATTATCTTTACATTGTAACATAATACTATAACATTTAATCTACAATATCTTTTCTATTCTCAAACACAATACCATCGTATGTCCGCTTAAGAATAGGTCCAAAATATCTCTTAGGTGTAATCTTGCCAGTTTCGGTTCTAACATTATATTTTAATATAATCTTATGTAAAATTATTTTAATTTCATTAACAGCTAAAAATCTACCCGGACACGAATGTTTTCCATTTCCAAATATAATCAAGTTACGTTCAATTTTTGTAGCGGATGCATTACGTTCCAGATGACGGTATGCATAAAATTCCATGGGATCCTGCCCCTGAATTTCCTTATCATAATGTGTATCAAGAAAGTTTAAAAAGGCTATACGACCTATAGTTTTGATTAATTAGGCAAAGACATGAGAATTACTATGGTTTAAAGTTTAAGATTAAAAGAATAATGATCCTAAAAAAAATTACCTTCCGGAATTTGATAACCATTTTTAAACGTATAATTAGATTTAGATATACATAGGTGCGGCAAACCTAATACGTCATCGGAATTTCTAAATGATTCTTTAATAAAGCTATCTAACTTCACCATTTTATTGATATCATTAGGTGTAAGCTCGTCGCCGTTACGCTGCTTATTAATTTCTTGAGCTTCCTGATATAATTCTTGCCAGTATTCTTTTCTTCCTGCCAGATCTAATTTTCACATAAACATATTTAATATAGAATTATTGTTTATAACATACAAATAGAATATAACTAACCGTATAAAGCACTGGTAGTACGATTAGATGTAGTGAACATGGAAGCAAAAATGAATACACCGAGTGAATCAGCAATATAGTTATAATCTACATTATTTGGATCGAGATCTGGGGTTACTTCAGGATCGTCTAAATAGGTTTGTAGTAAATCTAACTATTTTTTTTTTTTTAAAAGAAAAAAAAATCAATTTGAAAGAAAATTCTTCAAAATTAAGGCAATAATTAAAATTTTTTTTATCGCCCAGTGTATAGCGGAGGACTCTATTTCAATGTAAAGTGATACTAAAATTCGTTTTAACTCATTTTAGCATATCGCAGTTTTCGACAAATATTACCCCGGGTCTCTTACACTCTCAGGCCTTAAAAAAATTGATTAGTATCCTTTCCCCGAGACCAGCAATTTACTATTTAATTTGACATAATTGACGGTGAGTACTTTGATAAAGGGGTACTAATTGGCGAAAATTACGGTAAACATCAAAAACGTAAAATTGGATTTTCTGTCTATCACCATTGCATATTATGTACTGCATCATTTATAATTTTGCTCCGGACTTAGAAAGTTTTCATTGCCTTATAAACATAACTTACGGGAGCAATCCAAGCATCGCCTAATCTCTTTTTATCATTAAGACGCTTTTCGATGACAGGTCTAATACGATTGAGAATTATATTTCTGTATTTCGAATATGGATTCCAACCAAACCTGAAAGGAATCCTAATAGTAATAAATAATAATAAGTTCATAAAAGGTCATTTCTATTTAAAATTTATAATAAGGTTAAAAAACTTGCGTAATAAATTGTTGATGAAGCCAGGGGTGTATAAAACATAATATTGGTGGTACTAAAGTAATTCTTGTAATTGAAGATGTTAAGCTCCTAAAAATTTCCAAAATATCCTCATAATGGCAGCATTCCTAATTTTATTTTAGATTAATAGGTAGAAAAAATTTTTACGCCAAAATAGATAGATAAATACAATAATAATAATAAACATACTTCACCAAAAGCAACGTTAGAAAACGGAAATGAAACAATCTTTTGCATAATTTTCAATGGGTCATGAATAACCTTCGGTTCTATAATAAATAAAATTCCTTTAATCTCTAAAACGGTTAAAGTCATTTAAAAATTTAAAAGCTTACCAACACATTCACCAATATACATATCTATAGCTTTAATATTGCTATGTAACCTACTCGTAAGCCAGTTTATTTTCCTTGTGAAATAGTCTTTTATAACTTTGGCGTTTTTTTCCATACTCGGAGAGTAAGTAAATATATAATGTAGCGGTATTTGCTGTTTTCAAATTGAAAGTGATTTAAAAACGTAAAACAATTAATATAAAAGATCACTATATGAGTGCCGCCAAGTGAAGGCCTATCATCGAATGTTTTGGGAATTTGATTATTCCTTATCGAAACATATTTCCGAATTGCTTTGAAATAGTGTTGTTTACGCGTTCGTGTTATGTTACACTTAATTGTAAAATCATATTTGTTCAATTACAGTATTATGAAAACGGTAACTGTCCCAAATATAGAAATGTTTACCTGAGTCACCCGATAGTTACACAATTGATAACCAAATTTTTTTTTTTTAAAAAAGCCCGGGTAGTAGGGATTGGAATCGGTTTAGTCGACTAAACCGATTCCTATCCCTACCGGGTAGCTTACCATCGATAAAATGTGAGTAAATATAACGGATGTATTGATGCTTTTATAATTTATTCTGTTAATCCCTCAAGTTTTTTTTGCAATCTGATTGGCCGGTGTACAGGTGATTTGCTATAATTGGTTGATATTTGTGTGTAACTATATCGGAAGTTATTTCCATATTTGGGACGGTCTCCCTTGGAGAAAACGGTACAATATATCGACTTTTTCTATTCGGAATATTTCGGAACAGTACGTTGTTAGAGTTATTTTTGGCCTGCATTATATTGATTTGCCCGCATTATAAATATGCACATAAAAAATCATACCTATTAGTGTTCCGCAAACAAGGATCCGGCATTTTTAATGGGCATGAATGTAACATTTCACTAATGGTACCAGAACTGGAACTGTACGTATAATTAATATGGAAATACACTACCAGCAGCAGGCTTCGCTTGTCGCTCACGTGTAGTAGCAGTCTTACAAACCCGTTGCATAAACCGGATCTAGGTTAGGACCCGGATCTGGTTTATGCAACGAGTTTGAAAGACTGCTACTACACGTGAGCGACAAGCGAAGCCTGTTGCTGGTAGTATTAATTATACGTACAGTTTCAGTTCTGGTACCATTAGTGAAATGTTACATTCATACCCATTAAAAATGCCGGATCCTTGTTTTGGAACACCAATACCCATCTTGCGCATTGCCCATCACTACTTGTCCCTTGAAAAATCTAATTAGCGATATATTATGCGTAAATAAGGACGGGCTTAGTAACGATAACAAACAACATAAATTACGAGCAAGTCAAGAGTAAATTTGGAGCAAAGGTCCAAAATATTCCAAATAGCAGTTCTCGTATAAATTTGTTCATTGCTAGGGACGAGTCTAGAATAAAATATCATTGACAGCCTTGACAAGTTTTCCTCTGGCGGCACTTATATTCGTTAGATATTTTTTTAATTACTGTTTTTGTTGCTTCTATATGATTAAAATCACGATCTTTTTTGAATACTTCTTGAGTTGAATCCTTTCCAACCACAGCTACTACTCTACCGAATACGTATAAAGAAAATGTCTCGCCATACTGTTAATGATAAATTGTTAAAACATAAACAAAAAAATTTTTTTATCAAAAAAAAAAAAAAAAAGACCTTTTTACGAGATTCTAAAATTAACTTTTCGCAATCTGTCAAAAAACTCCATGTATGTCCGATAATTGGAAATCGATAATAAACGAGGGGTGGCTCATTCTAAAAAAGATTAACCTTTATATTTGTTTCAATAATGAATGAATGTTAATATATAAAAAAAACTTACCAGTTTAATCTCTCTCCTCGTTAGTTTGAAATAAACTGATGCTAAAATTAATCCTAAAATCAATGATTGAATATGAATATTTACTATCAAGGCCTCAATCATTTTTTTCTTTCTTGAATAAAAATAACTGATCTATTTTCGTATGTTAACTTTGATGTTAATGAAAAGGTTCATAAATCGTAGCTTATATTTTTATATTTTTACACACTACAAACTACAATAAATAAAATTCAAAAATAAAAGCTTTTTTTGAGTATTTGTTACTAAAACTAGCTATACATGTAAACACTAAATACTGGAAACAGTTAGCTAAAAGGTTATCATAAAGTGGTTTTATATAATAGTCTTTATTCTGGCCTATCTATGAATCGAGGAGGTAGAGATTGACGTATACTCATACAAACCATATCAATATATGGAATAGGTCTGACAAAATCAAAAAATCAAATGGAAATAGGTGTCTAAGGGTGGTGCTCTCAAGCATTTCCCTCAATGTGATCAACTAGTAAACGAGATCGTGCACAAACACTATAACTAATTAAGCTCATTCCTACGGCAATCCTGCTGAAGGTTCATATTGCGAAATGTGGATCTTAAATTTTAGCCAATCAACGCACCTATATGATAAAAAAAGGTGGTCTAGACCATCTTTTTTTTCATTGCGATGACAAACTTACTTAACCGCCCAAGCTATGTTCCGCTAATTAAAAATTGAGCACCGATCTATTAATTTAGGTGCTTGAGAGCACCAATCTTGGTTAGCTATTCTACATTATGGTTTGGCACCGTGAAAAATTGTGCTGGCGGTTAATCACTTTGCTTAACTAAAAGCTACACGATTAATAATGGTTTATCACGATTGTTTTGGTCATTATTCATTTATGGTTGTCACAATGAGGAGATTGGTTAGTCAATTTTGCAACTATGAATACGGGTCGGTTAAAGCGGAGCGAGTTTTAGAGTTACCTTTTTGATGCAGTTAGGGTTTGTGGGTTATATAGATATCGAGAATGTAATTTATGCAGTATGTAGATCATATACTGAATTCGCTCCTATGAATAGGAGCTACGTACCCAGGTGAGACCATGAAAGATCGTCGTATATATACCAATCAGATCTTTTCGAATAATCAAAACAACTTTAATATGCGTAATATTTTATAATACTAAAACCTCATGTTAGAGTTTGGATAGAGATTAAAATATGCATGCTCTATACCAAAATTTCATGAGCAATTTTTTTTATTTGAGCGCAGAAAGTGGTTACATAGTCAAAATTTTTAGTTATCGTCTGTTTTTTTAAAAAAGCATGACACCTGATCTAGTGATCTTATTGGCGACGATCATTCAAAAAAATCCGATTGGTGCATATACGACGATCTTTCATGGTCTCACTGGGGTAGCTGCTCAACTATCCCAATGGCACCGACAGATTTTCACTAAAACTGTACATTAGGGCCAGGTATATAATTATAACAATACTTGTTTTATACTAAAATTAAGGAATTTTTTTTAATTGGTCAATCAGTGAAAATACGGACCCCACAAATAAAAATGATCTACAAAAGAAACCAAGAATGATCTGTTTGACCGTTATTAATCGTTTAATCGTTTAACCGCTTATTGATTATTTGACCGTTTATAGATCGTTTTGTTACTCAATTATACATTGCGTTACATACTAATGCTTTGTTTCTAATAAAACTTTGAGTCGACACTACAAAGTAATGAACTTTCGCAAGTTATTGGGGTTATATAAGTTTGTGTGGCTTGTCTTTTTAATAAAACTCTTCTTATGCTAGCGATACACATTTGTCCTATAAATAAAATCCGATTAATATTCAGCATAGGAGAAACTCGCATCCGAAAATGTTGTTACACGAACTATTTTTATATGGGCAATTGAAAATCTGATATATGATTGTAGTTTAAAAAAACTAATAAGTTAAACTTAAGGTACCCATGTTGATTAGTAAAATTTCTTCGTTTTGGTAGTCTTTAGTGGAAGATCTATTCTAATCGTTTTCAATCGCTTTCTCTAGAGAGTTTTCATAAGAATAAAGGTAAACGTTCGGTAATTAGCAGAGTTTATTGAGTTTCTATTACATTTAAATAGTTAAGCTGAATCTTATATTAATATAATATTTTATACATTTATTAAATAAGCTAAGCAATATAAAGCGTTTAACAAGGTTTATTTACTCGAACCAAAAGTATATATGGGTCTTTGCCTTGAAAATGACCCTAGGAAACATAGTAATTATTATATCCTATAAGGTCATTTTCAAGGCAAAGACCCCATATATGTATTATTTATTAAACAGATAAGAAGATTAAGTAAGATCTCTAATATACATATAGTAAATATAATGATGCGGTCTAATTAGTAGTATAGTTCAGGAGTAATTATGTATAATAACATGTTTTTAGTAAAGTATAATAGTTAAAGGATAGATTAGAATTACTTTAGCTTAAAAAAACTTCATGTTTGTTAATAATAAATTTGGTTTGTTTTATTTTGCATATTGAAAGAATTTTTAATTTCATTTGATTATTTAATAGTTACACATTTACATAAATTAGCCGATTATATAAATGTTATAACCTATGATCTTTTGTCAAAAATATGAGTTTCCTTTATGTTTTAATATTTTTTAGAGTAAATTTACTAACATTTACCAGCTTATCGAAATTTGTACCTACTCTAAGTTAGAGTAAGTAAGTAGGTACAAAAATTACCTAAATTGATAAGTATTCACATAAATTGATAAGTATTTGTAGACTTATACTATTCTTTATTATGACTGTTTCAAATAAGAAAATAATAATTCTAATTATACATATTGGTTTAGTTAACATAACAGACATTTAATTTGATTGATTGATTAATAAATGTAAACAATAAACATAATTACTAATCAATCAAATCAATTACAAAATATAACATGTGAATAGCTAATATAATAAAGTTTTGTTTTTACTTATTATAATCTAAGTAGTAATTTTATTTTATTTTAAATTATTACAACTTATATAAGATAAATTATAACCTTTAATAAAGATGCAGCAACTTGAAATAATTTTTTTTTTTTTTAAACCTTAAGCAGTTACACTAGTACTTTATTAAGATTCTTGAAACTATTTACATTTATAATTATACAGAATTTCCCAATATGTAAGTCTAGCATCACTCGGCCACCCTATTGGTATCTAAGTGCAACCTGCTACACTATCTCAGTTAGAGATAGACTGCTCATCTAACTACTTAAAGTCATACATAGGGATTGGAATCAGTTTAGTCGACTAAAAATTTTATATAATAAACTACTATGTTTAGTCGATTAATTAGTCGACTAAATATAGTAGTCGACTAAACTGATTCCTATCCCTAGTCATACCAGAAGAGTCTTTCTCTCTTTGTGACAAGCATATCAATTGTCTTCTAAGCTTCTTTCTTTATTCAATTCACTCTTTCCAATTTCCTCTCCTTTTCTTCTTCTTTTGCCATCTTATTCTTTTTTGTTCTTTTCTCTGATCTTCTTTTAGTTCAAGTATCCTTTTTCATTTTGCTTGTTATATTAATCTTCTTTTCCCATTCTTGTACTTTTTCATAACAGATTCTCTATACTTAGTCATAAAATATATTTCATACTGTTCTTGTTACTATATCTATATATTTTTGCATTGCCTGTCTATTTAGAATTTGACTGATCTTTTTCTTAATCTTATTTGTTATTAACTCTTTTACTAAAGCTGTTCTATTAGTAATTTCTTCTGCTTCTGTTTTTCCAAATAATGTCTCATATAGCACAAGAGATAGAATTCTAACTCTTTCATTTTCTTTAAAACTGTTCTATGCTGTTGCTGTTACTACTTTTTGAATTCTCTTCCACAAGCTTTTTTGTCTGATGCAGCTTGCTAGATGTACTTGGGTTTCCTTTTCACCTCTTTGGCATACTTGGCAGTCAGTTATTGTATATATTTCTAGTCTTCTTCTATTTAGTTCTTCTAGCATTGGTAGGCTGTCTATTATGCATTTAATCACTATAGCTCTTTTTGTACTAAGTTTTCTTATTATGCAATATATACCTTTTGTTTTATTCATCTCTTTTCAAAAGCTTGACCAGTCATATTGAGCATTCTCAGTTTCTGGCTCCAGTACTCGAATTGGGGTTTGTTTCTCTCCAGTTAGTTCCAATTTTGGCATTCGTAACTATTTTACAAAGAAGACTTGTTGGTATATCAACTTTTCTGTTTTCCTATTCTAAGTGGTACTCTATCTTGTCACACTTAATTTTCTCTATAAATATTGTCCATCCACACATTGCTCTTTTTTTTACAAATAAATCTGCTCTGTCATTCCACTTGTCATTGTTGTAACTTTTAACCTTAACTAATTCTATTCTATTGTTCTTGCTTTCGAATAGACTTACAATATTTATTTATTTTTTTTTTTTTGGAGTTAAGGTGAGGTCATGCCTTAGGTCTGTTTATTCGAACATATTGTTACAGTTTGTATAACTTTTTATATTATACATTATCTATTACTATATGTCTAATTAAGAGATAAGACTCAGACTAATTTATCTGTGACCTAAACCTACCAGAGCTAATCTTGTATCCTACTTATACATAACCTGGATTTTTGTTTCACATCCATCTATATTAGGTAACCTGCATATTCCTCCCATGTCCCACAACCTATTTAAACAACTTTCAAATTGGTCTACCGGGTCATTCGCTCCTTATGAGCTACCATCTTTGGTCAGCCAGAACAATGCCTTACAGTTTGTATCTCAAGCCAGAGTCCTGTTGCTGCTGCTAACTTCCCAATTCAGGTACTAGTAGTACATATCTCAAGCCAGGTCTCTGCTACTGCTACTGGTTTGCATCCTTCTGGTCTTAGCGTTATTTTTAATGAATTGTGCAACTAACCTGCCCCTTTAGTACTCCCTTTTATGGTAATAGTTCGAACCTGTTTTGTGAGTTACCTCTTCCAGTTGTCACCATCTAATATAACTATTATTTCCAATTTGGAGTATCTCAACCTTGATTGGTGTAGCATTCATGTTGGTATGTTCATCCTTATATCGTCATAGACTT